CCCCCCCCCCCCCCCCTACAAAAAGACAGTCGTTCCGTGCGAGAATCCCTTCAGGACACGATTGAAGAACTGTGCAGGAAAGTCCTTCAATCGTAACTGTGCAGGAAAGTCCTTCAATCGTAACTCTTTCTTCAGTGTAATAACACGTCGAGGGCAAAACAGTTCTGAAGTCGACACAATGCCCCAAGAATCCTTTTTTTCAATTTTTGGCTTTTGCAAGGAATATGAGCGAGAGCGATAGACAGAATCCCAAATTGCAAAATCACGAAGTAGTTCAGATAGTCATGTACCGAGCAGAGAACACAATGCACCAAGATGCCATCCAAGTAAGAGCAATACAGTGAACCCAAAGGTCAATGCCGATGCTCTCTCGCCACACCAACATAGTATCCAATGCGGCTCTCCTACTGAGTGGCGCCTAGCGCCCAGCGCCCCGCCTACACTACTCAGCCTATCTACCCTATCGACGTTCATGCAACAGGACACATCACAGTTGAAGACCTATGCACCTGACGGCATCGCCCATGCAGACCGCCAGCATACACCAGGTACGTGTCTCGAACCTCCCAGCATTACCCCCTGACTCCCCACCTCATGCACCTCCTACTCGAAGACCACCATCACCGTCACCGCGCCTGCGCCCCAGTAGCCTGGCTATGGCCGCCATGCGCCCGCTGCCTCAGCAGCGCCCCTCTCACCTCAGCGCCCGCGCGTGCGTCTGACCCGCTGCATAGGGCAGCTGCTCGTGCACTAGCGCAGCAGCGTGGCCACATTGCCAAGCCACACCAGAATGCCGTGCCCCTGGGCTCTCACTTAACTATATGGAAAGTGTGCAGTGCCGCTGGCTGTTCCGGGCCTGGCGTGTAGGGGCCCAGTAGCCTCAGGTTGGCCCAAAGTGTCTGCGCCCAGGCCCAGTTTCAGATACTGGCCTGGGCCTCGTGCAGTGAGGCACGTCCAGGTAGCCCTCTCATTGGCTTGTGATAGATGTGTGACGACAATGCTGCCTTCTCATTGGTCTGCGGCCACGCGCGATGTGTCAGCCTCCCACTGCATGTGCCCAGGACGCAACCACCTGAGCCCTGGGCTCAACTGTACAGCACAGCTGTTGCTTCTGGAAGGAGCCATAGAAGGCTCACGTTGCTCTGTAACCAACTGGCGTGCTGCTACTGTCTGATACCCCACACACGAAAAATGTTGAAAATAGCTAGGCTGAACCCCGGGCCGCCCGGCGACCTGGTCGTCGCTGGGGGGGGGGGGCGGGCCGCCTGGCCGGTTGTTCCGCCCGGTTGGCCACTGGTCGACCCCAGCACATCCCAGAAGGGGGGTGGTTTCGGGCCGTTTTCAACGGGGGGGGCCTTCTTCCCCCCAAAGGAGGCCGTCGAGGCCAACAAACCGAAAAAAAAAGGGCCGGTAGGCCCGATTTCAACAATTGAAATCGGGGCCCATCTGCGCCGTCGATCTCCAGGATCGACGGCCCAGATAGGCCGCGATTTTGAATTGTTCAAAGCGGGAATCATCGGCCCTTGTCCTCTCCCCCGTGGCCTTTCCCGCCCGACGCGTCACTTTGCCCCCGACGCCTCACTTCGGCCCTCGACAGGTCACTTCGACGGAGCTCCGCCATCGCCCGCCAACGCCTGCCAATGCCCGCCGCCGTCGTCGCCCCCTGACGCCCGCCGACGCCCGCCATCACACTGCCGCGCCAAGGTAAGTGGGTTAGTAGGAGGAAGAGAGAGAGAGAGAGAGAGAGAGAGAGAGAGAGAGAGAGAGAGAGAGAGAGAGAGAGAGAGAGAGAGAGAGAGAGAGAGAGAGAGAG